TACTTCTCGTTCTCAACGCCGGGCTTCCAGCTTCTTCTGAAGCTTTCCTATGTAAGCCTGTTTAGCTTCCTTCACAGGAGCTTTTGCTCTGTGTTTTGTTCGCAGCTATTCTGGCTATGCTCCTCCGATTTCGACTTATGACATTGTGTTTATGCACTCCTTTTGTCTTTTATCACTGCCTATAATTCATCACTTCCACAGGGTCTCTTTACCCATTCTTGATCTTCCTGGTTGTACTACTAGAAAAATTCTCGCCACCTGGCGGAAACTGGCTTTGGTTTTAGAGCTACCAAGCTGGCTCTGCCTTTCTTGTAATTGTGTTAGAGCTGTCACCAGTGCGCCCCTGGCCATAGCATTCTCCTTTATATTACACCATTTGATGCGCTGCATGTTTGTAACGATTTTTTTCCTTCGACTATAAGTACTTTGAAGTCGAGAATCAGAGGCTTGTGTTGAGTTATGCAACTTTCAGTTGTATACTCAGGTGAAAGTGTTGGATAACCTTGCAGCCTCTTACAATCTTGTGCTCGTTTTGCTTTACCGCTCAGAAGTCTATATGAGTTCTTCCCATCTCACTTGAATACGTCATGAGATGATCCTTTTTGTTGTAGTGATGTTCGCCAACGCCAGGTCGTAGCTGCAGCGATTTCAAGAATGCTCTCGCCCTTTTTAGTGCATGTTCCATATCCGTGGTTCCCGTAATACTTTCCTGGACCATTTCGCTTTTCTCCAACATGTCCGTTGAGGACCCTCCAAGTAGAAGTATCTCTTTTGTGGTATTGAACGAATGATCATCGAGCTCCTGCCAAAAGGCATCCTTTTCTTCCTCTTTGCATCCAGCTTGCGGTAGGCGTAACAACCCGAAGGACCTTTCCCAGTACCGATCTTTAGGCTCACAAGTCGGTCGTTCACTCGCTTCAGCCATGCGCTTCTCAGAACTTCAGAAACAGCTATACCAACAGCGTTTTTATTACTGCTTGTACCACTGCAGAGTATCATAAATTTATCTCCAATGTCGTGTGACTTCACGCCTTTCCATTTCGTTTCCTGTAAGCAGGCTATATCCATTCAACGTTTTTTTCAGAAAATCTGCCAG